GAGGAGAGGAAGAGGAGAGGAAGGAGAAGAAGAGAGAGAGGAGAGCGAGAGAAGAGGAAAAAGAAAAGGCGAAGGAGGAAAGGAGGAAAGGCGCAACGGAGAGTGAGAAGGAGAGAGGAGGCGACAGGACGGGAAAGATGTGTAAAGGAGAGGGAGGAGAAGCGGAAACAGGAGAAAGGGAACGAAGAAGAGGATAGTGAGTAGAGTATAATGTATTAATTTGGAATTTGATTATAGGGAGGAGGAAGGAGATGGAGATGAAGGAAGGAGGAGGCAAGAGAAAGAGGTGGAACAAAAAGGAAGGAAAGCGAGAGAGGATGACGGGCGGAAGCAGAAAGGAAAGGAGAAAACAGGAAGGATGGAGAGAGGAAGGATGACAGAAGGAGGACAAAGAGGAAGAAAGAAAGAGAAATGGAAAAGGGAGGGGTATGGATAGGGGGGGACGAAGGGAGGGTGGGGACAAAGTATGTATGGGTCGCTCATGGCCAGGTCGCGGTAGGGGAACGGAACAGATATGTGAAGGGTTCGGGAACGCTCCCTTAAAAAGCGCCAATGTATTTCCTAACAGGAATAAAGCAATACTACTACAGTGTGGAGTTCTCGTTAGTGAAATGGTTAATTCATTAGCAAAATCACGGATTTACTGTTAAAGCGGATTGAAAGTCCGCTTGGTTGTACTAGCACTTTCTCGGAATGGGATTCCATTCGATAACAAGGGAATTACTTTTAAACTGTCGTTAATTGCCTGCGAAACACACGACCATGAGAACAGTGTCAAAACGATGACATTGCATTTTTGATATCAAAAAAATTGTAATCCGCAATCAAGTCCCGTCGAATAATGATGAAAGACGTAATGATATTGGTTGACATTTTATCAAGGTGATTTACGCTTAATATTGCTTAACGTGCGGGAATTGTATGCAAGTCACTTTGCAGGCCTGCTGTGAAGAAAATAAGACTCCTATGCAACGCGTTTCACAATAGTTTCGTAATGCTACCGAGTCCCCTAACATTCTTTTGTCATTTGAACATGTTTCGTTACTCGCGTCCGTCTTTTGTACATGGTGTGCGAGAGGAGAAATGAGAGAGTATGATGCAATTATAATTTATCGCAAACCCGTGCAAATTACATTTTAAAGGTGTTAATGATCACCTCGTAGATGTGATGAGTAACATCGCTTCCCGGAGAACGTTGCGATGAAAGTGTGCGATAGAAAGTCGAGGAATGCGCGAGCTAATCGTTTCGCCGTATTCGCAGCTTTTATATTATAATCGTCATGCCCTTTCTAGT